ACACACACACACACACACACACACACACACACACACACACACACACAGCGTGACTGTTTGAGTGTGTGTGTTGAAGTCAACAGCTGTAATGCGTGGGTATGGCTCTGTGTGCTGATATGCCTGATTAGTGGAACTTCAGTGTCTCTCCAAATGTGTTTATAAATGCAAGGAGAATACTATTATTTGTCTGTGTGTGTGTGTGTGTGTGTGTGTTTGCTGGGGCATCGTGCCTCCAGTGAAGGGTGAAGGGGTCCATCAGCTCTCTCTCAGTGGTCTGACAGTGCAGACGGAGACGGAGCAGTCAGCCAAGGCTGCTGAGCTGTATCTTGTCTGACAACACAGATGAGATGCAAGCATGCACACATTACCTTTCCTCTCATTTTCATGCACACTTCCTCTAATCTGCTAAAGGCACAAACTAGTACAGAGCCTTTTAACAGATCATGGAGACAGTGGTCTTCATACTGCAGATGATCCCTTCAGTGCCCTTCGTGCAGTTTAAATTGATGCTTTGTTGGAGCATTACTGAGGACTACAACATGAAACTAGAAAGGTGCACTCTGTAGAGTGCAGATCTCCGCCAGGTGTGACTGCAACAACCACAGCTGTAATGTTTGATTGAATGAACACAACCCAAAATCGTCCAACCCCCATCTAGACCCCCATATCAGACATGTTTTTTTACTCGCACCTCTCACACAACAGATATGCTCTCATTTTAATTCATGCAGATGTCTGCACCGGCTCTGTGCGGGTATGCATCTCAACTCGGTTTCTAGGCGTAACTGCGACTTGAAGTGTTTTAGTTTTAGGCTTCGAAATCAATTTTTCCGACAATACGCAAGGTTGAAGCCCAATAAAAAGGCACAGAATAACTGTGTCTCGAGACCTCGAAATGTCTTTGAATGTGCAGCTATAACTGTCCATCCAAAACATTGTGCAGTTTGCTGCAGAAGAATGCAAGATTAGCCGTGGACAGACACAAAGGTGCACACACACACACACACACACACACACACACACACACACACACACACACACACACACACACACACACACTCCTCCTGACAAAGACAAGAATTAGCTAGATGGCTGAAATGGAAATGAATAATGCCAAAACCATATTATTCAAAGCCATATCTCTTTTAAGTTTTGTGTTTGTAATGACACAAAGCACTTTGTTTTCAGTATCCATGCATGGACACACCGCCTGAGACAATGCTTTCTCTAAACATTAACAGCCATGTGCACAATAGTGATCCACCGCTTAATACCTTATTCAAAGTGTTGATTTCATGCTCTTGATGCACCTGAAATCTTAACTCTTCTAAACATACTTAGTTTGAAATATGACAGGTTCATACTTTGTGTCTTTCATTTTAATGAGAGCAGAAAGCTTTCAAGACCATTCAGACGTTTAGTCGATCTGGGACTCAGACTCCCTCTCAATCTCTCTGTTTCTCTGTCTGTAAGTTCATCTCTCGCTCTCTCTCTCTCTATTTTTTCCCATTTTCTCCCCCTTTGTCGTGCTTTCCAGAAAGATTTAATCTCCCTGGTTGACTCCCTAATTAACCTCTCTCCCACACTTGGCAGTTCCTACCAGCCTCACATTCTCTTTCAGCCCACATGTCCTGCGTGAAAAAGTTCAGCTCTCTGCAGTATTAGACTGCTGCCTACACACTGGCACAGTTTGGAAAGCGCCACGGTGGCAAAGCTACAGTTCCGTTTGTCAAGTTTAATAAAACGCCTACAGCGCCGACAAGAGGTCCAGTACTTTATTGTAACTTCATCACAGCTCACTGATGGTAAAGGCAAACGAAAACTAGAAAACAGAACAAGGACATCTACAAATCTAACCTCACTGAGTAAAATAATAGAGTGGTGTGTTATCTGATGTTGCAAAATTGTATTTTATAGTTTTTTGGCTTGTTTCATGCCGAATTGATTCACATCAGTGAACTGACTGATACAATCCCAGCTAGCCGCCAGTATTAATATTCAAATCAATCAGGAGGATTTCATGAGGTGTCAGCGCAGAACACCTCCTCACATCTATGATGCAGATGACTGATTTGACTTCAGGAGAAGCTGAATGGATAGAAAAGGCATTTCACTTTCAATTTAAAGTCATTGCCTGACAGCTTCGCTGCCTTCAGAGCTAATTGAAAGCTCCGACACACAACCTACACGTCTCATTTTCTATCCTTACAGAAAACAGCGGGTTAAGAAGAGTACCTTGGTCCTCATGATTTCCCTGATGGCAGAGTCGAACTCCAGGGAGTTGTTGTAGTCCACCGTCATGACGTGAGGTTTGCCGATGTACTGCTCTGCATACGGGTGCTGGGAGGACACCTACAGCAACATAGATAGCAACATAGATTGAGTTGAAGCAGGAACGCTATGTTCCAGCCTCCTAATTAACAGGCGCTAACAAGTGCTGTCCGCACCTACAGTTTGTGCCAGTTCTTTTTAAAGATCTACTGATGAATAAAGTTATTTGGCAACTTGGCTGGCAGCAGCGGCCAAAAATATTCTCATCAGTGACTAATGGTGGGGGAGTAATGGCTATAAGGAGCTTACCTCTCTAGATGTGGGCTTGCCCCTGAAGAACTCATGATTGAGTGAGCTGTGAGGCGGGTGGAACTTGGGCTGCAGGAAGATGCAGCCGTTGGCTATTGCTTCCAGAGGGGCAGGGCCTTCGTAGGGGAAGCCAAAGCCAATGAAGAGCTAGAAGAACAACCAGGGATGTTATTTTATGATAATTAGCTTCAAAGTGTCTTTAGATCAGTATCGTAATGTGGTATTGAGTGTGTATATCATTATCGGTTTCTGGATAAACGTGAGCATACTGTTAAAGACAGAACTAATGCTGCAGATGAAGAATCTGTGTTCACTCTATGACACCAGCAGTGAGAATGTAAGTATGTAGGGAATATTTTCCTCGCTTTCTTGCCTTGGCCTTGCGCAGCAGTTGCTGCAGCTCATGCTGAGGCAGCAGGCCGTGGTTCTTCACGAAGGCCGGGACCTCCGGAGGTCTCTGGGTCTCATAGTACACTGTGCCGTGGACCTCCATGTACCTGTGGAGAATCTGCAGGAAACCATCCTTACCCTGCTGGAGGAGGAAGGGAAAAAGATGGGTTGGTGAGATTGAGGGCGGAGGGTCAAGAGAGGAAGGCGTATGGAAAAGAGTGTGTCAGAAAAGAACAGCAGATAGAGGCATATGATTGAAGAATCTGTGTCCAAGTACAGTGTGCTGTGTTTGTTACATCTTTGATGTTTGTGTGAGCTGTCTGTGTGCGTAGCTGTCAGACTTTGTTTGTACAGTACATTCATGTTTGTCTAAAAAGACTGCATGTGTGTGAATACATCTTTAAAACAAAACAAAATCACCTTTTAAATATGAACACAACTTGTGTGTATAATAGAGTTTTCAGGTCATTTTTCACAGGAAACAGGACAACACCAAAATGCTTTATTTTCCTCCCTTTTCACTTGGAGAACAACAGATCTGGGGAAATCTCAGCAGGTTAAACCACACGCGCCAAACTCATCATTTAGTTGTTCTTATTGACATTTTTCTGTTTCTTATTCTGTTTCTGTCAGACGTGAACAACTACTACATGATTTCCCGCGCTGCGCATTGAAACGGCGATGAAATCTCTTTTACGTCCCGCAAAATGCTCTGACAACCAACATAATCCGAAAGAAAACATTGGCCCAACTCTGTGTGTGGATGTGGCTTACTCAAATTGTTAGGCATGTTTGTATTTAGATGTCCTTGTTCCATCTACTGAGTGTGTGTGTCTTTGTGTGGCAGTCCAACCAGAAAACAATTCCTACTGATATAGACTTCAGAGAGAGATACAGAGGAGAATCTAACAGCTGCAGGCTGTGAATGATAAACACTCACATAAATGAAAAATACTTCTTTCTTATCCCGGAACCACTCTTTACTACTGCAACTACTCCCCTGTTTTCTCACTGGTATTAATTTTAAAGACACCTTTGGACACAGTGGATACACATTGGATGGTTGGAGGCTGCTTATTCTATTACCTAGTGAGAGTCTTCCCTGCACATGCTTGACCCTGAATATCTGAATAACATTTGTGAAATCGACAGGCTATTCACTAAAAAAATTAAATAAAATGTCATTGAACTCAGTGCAGAGTTCAGCAGATAGGTATCTCCTTTGCAAAATCATTGTGCTAGGTCTTGTTTGGGTGTGAGAGGTGCAATACAAGCATTACTTTCTCTTACTCATAGCTCTGCATTCATCTCTACTCATTATTAGTAGAAAGTCAAGGTTGAGCATTGATGATTGGAAGAGCAAAAACCAACCAGCTAATCAGTTAAACAAAACTGAATCATGTAAATGGAGCGTGACCCTGGGCCAGAGTATTGACTCGGCTGCCTGGTGTTGAGGAGCTTACTGTATCCCTGTACTCTGGTCTCTGGTGTCCCCCCCCCAGCCCCAGCCCTAGCCCTAATTGGAGGCTGTAGCGATCGATAGCTTCCTCTGTGAGGATTTTCTCAGCCAATTAGGAGATTAGTTCAAGCGGTAAGTGTAGCAGACAACATGAATTAGCAGAAGGAAAAAAAACGGGTGTGGAGGAGTGCAGATTCCATAACCTGCACTTGCAGCTATCTCTCTCCGTGTGTGTCCGAGCTAACTCTCTCGACTTGCATTGGATTAGGTCTAATAAGTATGTTCTGCTGTGCTGGTTTTAGTCCCTCACCTCATATCTTGAAATGTAGTAAAAAAAAAATTAACATGTTGAGTTATTTTTGCACGAAAGGGTACGATGATAAAAAGGAAGCTTTTATACCCCTTCTCTGTTCGTAAACATGATGAAGGCTTTTTGTTGGCGGAACGTAGGTGGATGCGGATTAATTATCTGAGCACATTATATGCTGGCTAGCAAGTTTAGTTGGCTTGTTTTTTATAATGGCTAAAGAAAATACGAGTTTATCTCAATGTGTAGAGTCACTCACTGTCCACCAGCCCACAGTTGGGCTCATTATTTGTAATGTTAACCAGTGTAGCATGAAAGCAGAGTGGAATTAGCAAGGTAGCTAGCTAGGTAGCGAGATTTGTACAATTTTATTAATTTAATGCTTCATCCACACACTCTTGTCTCAGTGTAGGAAAGCACATGGTTCACACTAGATAAGTGACAACTATGTTTGAAACATTTTCATTAACCGGTGTTGCATGAAAACATGGTGGAACTAGCAAGCTAGCTAGCTAGCCAATGAGTTATCTTGCTAATTCCAACATGCTTTCATCCTACACTGGTTACAGAGAATAAGTCCTGGTGCAGACCATCTCTCAATCTCTATAATGATTTAGCCTGCTGAGGTGCAGCAGCCGTGATGGAGGATGAGGTTCGTGGAAGGCTAAGCTAAACTATTTGCAACATTTTCTCTCCATCTCTGAAACATTTTACAGATAGTGTAGCTCCCTTGAGCCTCGGATCAGAATTTACCATCTCAAATGTATGCAATATTGATTCTAGCTTCCAGCACCACAGCAAGATGACATTTTGGATGTGTAACTTTAGCCTACTACTCTAAAGGTGATTTGTGTTTGCATCCAGTCTTTCCTTTGTTTGGCCTCCAGCTGAAACCCTGATGTAATCATGACGTCAGCTGTAAACGGGTCAATTTGATGAGCCTCACCCTCTTTACTGTTGACACACCCCTTCAAGCTTTCCTTTCTCGCATGTCAAGTATGTTGTTTCCAAAGAACTGTCCGCACAATATTCTTGTGAATTTAGGTAACAATGGGTCCTTGATTTCAGACAGAGGTAGACAAAATCAAGCTTCTCATTTGCAGTCGGCGAAACACAAAATGCTGATATAATAGCTATGAATAAGGTGGAAGCCACTTGAGAAGACCAACACCATCATTAGTGCTGCGGTGGCCACATTTTCCGAGGTATGTTGTCAGTTAGAATACATTTGAAATGAGTGTCTGAACTGACCTTGTGCCTTCTGACAAGTGGAGGGGATAAAAAGATATGCATGTGTGTAGGTTGTGAGATGGCCTTAATAGTAATATGTGGTGAAAGTAGCAGGCTCTTACCTGAAGCTAGTGAGCATCCAGCCGGATTCGCCACAAAAGAAAGAAAGAGATAAGAAAATGAAATCAGACATGTATTTACATTTAGAATAGAACAATGGGGAGAACAAAGAAGAGAGAGCAGAGAAAATGAATCATTAATGTACATGTTGTGCCTTTTCACCAAGCTTTTGTAGATTAAGTTATTGTACTTTTATAACCCCCCCCCCCCCATCTCGCTTCTGTGCTCGTCTCTTTCACAATCCACAGCTATAAAGAAATCCAGAGAATTGAAAAGTCACACTGTGGAAAGTGCTGCAAATAACATCTTTTATAATATTTTTTATAATGGAGGCACAACTGTGCCGCTCTACAATATGCAGAGGAACAAGCAGGCAGCTTTTGAGAGGAAAATTGCCTGTAAATTAAAGCTGTACAATTATATGTATTGAGCCGCATGAAGCTGAGCTGTAATGGTGCAAAGCAACGGGGGTGTGCAAAATGCTGTCATTGTATTTTTCACTGCAATATATTGTGGGGGGTATTATGTGTGTGTGTGTGTGTGTGTGTGTGTGTGTGTGAATGAGTGTGTGTTTCTACGTTGAAAGAGACTGCCTTTGAGAATTCCGATTATTTTTTTTTTTTAATTTAACACAGAGTATGTGTGTATTTGTGAGATGTTGCAGAACATGTGCATGGCTGTACTTGTACATGATTATATATGCATACATAAAAAGTCATGGTTGCCTACATATATGTACAGTGTGCGTTTTTGTGTTTAATTGCTATATATTATATATATATATATATAGTATACTTTGTGGCTCTCCAGGAAATTCCTTTACTTTGTCCGTGGAAACATTGAAAAGTGATTTGTTGCCTGTACCTTCCACATGCTGGCCTCTTTCCCGTACACCACAGCCATGTTGTTGACTTTGTTCTGCTGGATGCTCCTCTTCTCCGTCTCATTCAGCTCCTCCGAAACGAAGCCCATGAATGAGTTGTCTGGCGTGTGTGCTGAATGTGTGTGTGTGTGTGAGAGAGAGTAGTAAGGTGAGGCAGGATAGTAGTGAAGCGAGAGAGAGAACAAAACAGAAAGAGAGAAATAAAGTTTTGTTGTTAGAGAGAGACAGTGAAGAAAAACAGCACAACATCCTTGTTTGCTTCAGTTCACTGGCTGAGTCGGGGTGATTGTCGACCCCCTAAGTATTATTAATAGAGATTGTCATAAAGCCAGCTGCTGTTGGCTATGTGAGGCTGCGATGGTTTTGGCAGTACTAAGGTGGACTGAAATGGTTTTTAAAGTACTGACTTTAACTTTACATAATCAAAACCAAGTACATTCATGAATTTACAGCTTTTCATCGCATCCTCACAGTCAATGCAAATTTTTATTTTTTGCCGTGTGCATTTTTATAAAATGAATAAAAGTAATAAATTATGGCTCCTGCTGCTCTCTCAGGTAGTGAGTATGGAGCCATTTTTTAAGGCTGAGTCAGCCGTAATAGCTTAGGACAGTGTGAAACGTTGGCGTCTGCATTTGGGCCACGTATTGACGTTATGATGATTCTGCTGTGCCACAACTACAGCTGAAAGAGCGCGACAATGTTAAGTAGTGAATGTGAGAGCAGAAGAGAGTTACGTTGTCAGTGTTTCAGTCGGGAGCAGTGAGGAAACAGACAACAATGAGGGCTTTGAAAACACCAGATCAGACATATTGCGTAGCATGGATCAGAAAGAGGAAAGCAGACGTGATGAAAAACAGATACAGCTTGAAGCTGCGGTGTTGCTGAAAATAGCTGCATTAGACACATGTATCCAAATTAATGTGAACAAGCAGCCAGACCTGTCAAAAAAAGTGAAAACACTGTCAAAACTGGTGATAGATCTGTGTGTGTGTGTGTGTGTGTGTGTGTGTGTTGTGTGACAGTTTTAACTTTCATGTTTTGTCGAGTTATTAAGTTCAAATGCTTCGGTTTTATAGAAAAGATAGGAATGGCAGCATATTCAGGCAATTTTTGGTAAAACAAATAATGAAATAAAGTATTATGGAGTCGGGGGGGGGGGGGGGTTATATTTCAAGAAGGAACATAGAATTTGCACGATTGATTGAAAAGAACCTCACAATTTTTCGAGAAACAAACTGAGATTATAAAGCCATATATTTGGGAGAAAAAACTCAAAACAATTGTGCATTTCTAATGGGTCAAGGAACCATATGGCTTCACTTTGGAAGGTTGGATCAACCTCATCATACCACAAATGCCACTGTTAAACACAGCACTAATGTGAGCCGCCAAATGCAAAATATGTTAATTATATCAGTGTTAATAAAAGAACAAAGAAAGAAGATGAAAGAACACGCCTATATGTATCTTTCTGGACCTTCGCCTTATTCAGAGGCCATCCTCACCATCAGAACACTACTTTAGGCACAACCAAATTTACAACTTTAATCTTTTTCAGAATATTTACACCCTTCCCCCGGCTTATTTATTCATTTGTTTGACCTCGAAAAGCCCTAATATATCCTTGTAGGAGTGAGATATGATATGAAAGTTTAAATAAAAATGTGTGAATCAATATTAGCAATACTGTAACACAACCATTACTATACTGACAGTATATGTAGTGCACTACAGAAGATGAAACACTAATGAAATCAATTTGTTCATGAGGTTCTGTTCTTACGGAACATGGTCATGTACTGCCTGGCGTTGAGGTTCCAGTAGCCCCAGTTGGTCCGGTAGCCGTGCAGCGTTGAGTACTCCTCATGATTGTAAGCTGGCTCCGTCCCGAACGTGTCAATCACTCGGATATGACATCTGTAAAGACACAGCACAACCACTTAGAAACATCATGTTCCTATTGTCTCCCATGTACAAAAAATATCAGGAAATTATTTTTTTTCACGTGTGTAATCATATGTAATTACAGCTATGTTAAACAGTGTTATCTTGTATCCAACACCTGTTTATACATCATTATCATGTATAATTGATGATAAACTAAGAAGCAATATAATAAATAAGCAAAGTAATAAAACAATAAGTGCTTAAATGCCCTTTTATTTGTTTTTAAGTACATTATTCTACCTTGAAACTTAAAACCAGGTCTGACACTTCACACAAAGTGGGGACCGGTTAAAATGTCCTCACTCTGAGGTCTAAAACTCAAATTGGTCCTCACAAAGAGAGCTGTACAAGTACAAACAAACACACACACACACACACACACACACACACACACACACACACA